CCCCCACATAAAGTACCTGGACCCTGAAGGCGTCTTACATTCATGCTCCTCCAATGGGGAGTGGGAATAGCGGACCGCCACCAGAATGAAGAAGAGAAAGAGAAGCTACAACTCCACCAGGAGCTGGACCTGGGGTAGACAGAACAAGCAGCCAGGACGCAGAGGCCAGCACCAAGTGGAGGCCCTTCGAGCCTTTCTGGGTCCCTGTGGCGGTGGCTACAGCTGGCAGGCGGCTTATACAGATGTAGAGAATCTGGTTGGCATACTGGGCCGTGCTGTGGAGGTGAGGGGCCATCCACTTGGGAAACTTTTGAGGGGGAAGATAGCCTCTCCTATGGAGGGGTCTGCTGGAGGAGTGGGCTCTACGCTGGGGCTCCTAGGAGAAAGCTTGGCTCAGCCCTGAAGTCCAGGACAGGACCAGCGCCCCTCTGACCCAGGCCTCCCACCCTCCCCAGCGTGTGACCCTGGACAAGCTGGAGGCAGCACCCTCAGAGGCAGCCCTGGTAGAGCGGGCTCTGGAGCTGCTTGCTGAGCACCACTTCTGGGCTGGTGTTGTATTCCTGAGCCCCAAGGATTCCCCCGACCCAGAGCAGCTCCCAGGCCCAGGCCACATGCGCATCAAGATCTGCATGGACATTGACAATGTCATCAGAACCAATAAAATCAGGGACAGGTGAGGGTGTGGCCACATGTGGGGGCGGGGTCAAGAGCTTGATGGGTGAGACCAGGGCATCCTGCCCTTGGCCCATCACCCATCAGAGACCACACAGGCAGAGTCTGATTGATTCCTTAGACCAAGGGGTCCATGGTGGGTGGGGTCTAGGTTGTATAAGATGCCTGCTGAAGGACTTGGTGTGTGGGCTCAAACCTTGGCTTCTGTGATAAATGGGAGTGGGTGTGGGACAACTGGGTGGCAGGCCCAGCCGGGCCTATAGTTGAGCACATGGTGAGGACAGGGCTAAGGTTATGAAATGGGCATGGGGTGGGGGTGAGGGTGTTTCCAGCCAGCCCCTGCAGCTGACTACCATGCTCCTTGCAAGTTTGGGGACCCTGGCCTGGCCGCTGACCCCCTGACAGATCTGCACTATGTGTGGGGTGGCTTTGTGTACCTGCAGGAGCTGCTGGAGCATGCAGCAGTGCACGTGCTCAATGGCAGTGCACCCTGTGCCAGCCTCTACCTACAGCAGATTCCCTACCCATGCTATGTGGATGATGTGTGAGTGCCCCCTCCCCTCTCATTCCCTCAGCTGCAAATCCCAGGTCTCAAGTGGGACCTGGTCTCCATTTGGAACATTCATGAAGTCAAGGCTATGAATAGCTGGCTTAGGTGGACCACCCCCTGTGACCTGTAGAGGAAGGAGCAGGGACCCCTTAAGGGTCTGGAGATTCCTAGTGCAGAGACAATGTGGCCTGTGCTGACAGCTGGGACCCTGAGGCTCAAGGAAGGGTCCAAAGATAAGGAAGGGTGAATGGCTTTGGCTGGCATAGCCAAGTGCTTAGAGCATTAGCCTGCAGACCAGAGGGTGCTGGGTTTGATTCTCGGTCAGGGGCATGTACCTGGGTTCAGTAGGCAACCAATCAATGTCTCTCTCTCACATCGATGTTTCTCTCTCTTCCTTCCACTCTCTCTAAAAAGCAATGGAAAAAATATCCTCAGGTGAGGATTAAAAAATTAAAAAATAAAAAATAAAAAGAAGAGAGGGTAAATGTCCGTGGCTACCTGTGCCCTCAGATCCTGGGGTGGGAACCATAGCTACCTGTGCCTTATCCCTGCCCAGGTGGGATGCAGTGAAAGCTCTCAATGGCCATTGCCTTTGTGGGTGGCTCCCAAGTCATTATCCTGGATGAGCCTATAGCTGGTGTGGACCCTGCTTCCCTCGCAACATTTGGGAGCTGCTGCTCAAATACCAGGCAGGTAAGAGTTGGGGACAGCACAAGGTTCTCCTGGATTCTGCTTGAGGGGCCAGAAAAAGGTTTCTGATAAGGAGAAAAGGTTTCTCATCAGGAAGTGGTAGGGATGGGGTTTTGAGGGATGAGTAGGAGTTTGCCAGGCTTGGTTCAGGGCAAAAGGGGCAGCCAATTCCTGGCAGAGGCTACAGCACAGGCAAAGACCTGGTGGCTTGATGATACATATGTGTTGGGTTCCTATGCTTAGGTCGCACATTGATCCTTTCTACCCACCACCTGGATAAGTCAGAGCTATTAGGAGACCAGGTAGCAGTGGTGGCAGGTGGCCATTTATGTTGCTGTGGCTTCCCACTCTTCCAGCATTGTCACTTGGGATCTGGCTACTACCTGAGACTGGCAAAGTGTCCCCAGTCCCTGGCCATCAGCACAAAGGTGAGGGCTGGAGCTAACCTCTGACACCCAACCACTGATGGCTCTATCCAGCTCCAATGGCCATGTCAATTGGTGCCCCTGTGCCCACAGGGTGACACTGACATGGAGGACAATGTGGATGCCAGGCAGGAGAGGGAGCTGGGCAGCTAGGGTAGCAGAGCTGGTAAAGGCTGTGGTGAGAGAACCAGAGGGAGGGGCCAGTGGGTGGCAGGTGCTTGGTTCAGGACAACAAGGCTTCACCATCCCAGACTGGACCCCTGACCCTGGGCTGAACCCAGACAGAAACCTACTCCTGATCTCTGACCCTGGGTGAACTCCAGTTCTGATCCTAGGTCCTACCCTCAGGTATTTAACCCTGACCTCCTCTGTCCACATGCCCAGGCCCCTTATGAGTCACCCAAGTCCCTTCCCCAGGGAGGCTTGGATGAGAGGGGTGAGGCAAGAACCAGGGCTGCCCACCTTGCCAGGGCCCTTGATGCAACCCTCTGCTCGCTCAGGTACACCCCAGCTGCTGGGAGTGGTGCAGTGCCAGGTACCTGGTACACAGCTGGTCAAGGAGCTGTCACATGAGCTGGTGCTGGCGCTATCCTACGAGGGTGCCCTGGATGGCAGCTTTGCCAAGCTCTTCCTTGAGCTGGACCAGTGACTGGGGGAGCTGGGGCTGGTTGGCTATGGGATCTCTGACATCAGCCTCCAGGACATGGGGGAGGGCTGTCTGGAGGAAGTGGCACTTGAAAGGAGGAGGAGTCTTTTTATCTACAGCAGGGCACCCCTGCACTTGTGGATGCCTGGAGGCTTGGAGTCCTTGGAGAAGCTGAGGGTGGGAGGGCTCTTGAGTTCCCGGCTTCCTCCTGTGGGTCCTCAGGCTTTGATCCCCCTATTCTGTCTCCTCAGATCTTCCTGAAGGTGTTAGAAGACTGTGCTGTGGACATAAACCCAGAGAGTGAGGCCGTAGGTCCCTGTCCTTGACCCCTAATCCTGGTCCAGAGTTGGACCTCACTTTATACCAAGTCCCAATTCCTGGCTGGGTCTGGCCCAAGACATAGCCCTGACCTCCATCTCTGACTCCTGATCTCCTTCATCTGTGCCCCCGAACCCTGACCCCTGGTGGCCCCACAGATGGTAGCCATAGACAACACCCCTGTATAGGCATTACTCAACCAAATGTGACCACAGGGCTCAGGATTCTGCCAGAGGAGTCAGCCCTGGAGGATGGGGAGCTGGGTGAGTTGCCCCACCCTGACCCTGTGGCAATGCGGCCTCTCCTGGGCCCACCAGCATGAGCACTGACCATTCCATCTCCCACAGCTGGGTCTGCCCCAGAGTCACAGGCCCTGCAGAGCTTTGGGCCGGACACCACTCTGGCCCCCTCACCCCTATTCACTCTGGTCCCCCCTCATTCACTCTGGTCCCCTCCTTATATTGGCCCCTCACTCTCACACTGATCCCCTTGCTCATGCTGATCCTCCCAAGTTAACTCTGGCCTCATCCTCATTCTGGCCCCCCATTCACTCTGCCCCCCCAAGTTCACTTTAGCCCCCCTGGCTCACTATGGTCCCTCCTGTTCACTTGGGTCCTCATATTTACTCTGGTCCTACATGCTCACTCTGGCCCTCCATGCTAACTGTTCTTCCCTGCTTACTCTGGTCCCCTCAACTTTAATTGGTCCTCCCACATTCACACTGCCTCCCTCCCCGGCCTGCCCATAGACAGTGAGCTTGGGCCTGGTGAACCCGGGGCTCTAGCAGTATGCTGACCAGCCCGTGGGAACATATGGTGGTGGCAACAAGCGGAAACTGGCAACGGCTCTGGCGCTGGTGGGGGATCCTGCAGTGATCTTTCTGGCACGTGTGCCGAGGCCTGGGTGAGAGTGGGGCCAGGGCAGGGCAGGGCCAGTCTTACTGAGTCTTACCCCTGCCTCTCCCAGGATGAGCCAGCCACTGGCATGGACCCCAGTGCAAGGCGCTTCCTCTGGAACAGCCTCCTGGCTGTGGTGAAGAAGGGCCGCTCCGTGGGGCTTACCTCACACAGGTGGGCCCTGCGTCCAACATCAGGGCTGTGGGTCAAGATGGTCCAGGCTCTGGGGAGAGAGGCAGACCCCAGTGAGAGTCTGTGAGATAGAGCATAGGGACACACAGGGTGGGTGGTCCTGACCCTGAGGGAGGATGCGAAAGCCTGACTGTGAGGACACAGGGCAAACCCGGGAACTGAGCGGTCTGGGCCCAGTTGGACATGTTCACAGTAGAAGGGTGGTCCAGGCCTGGAGGGTAGGTGGTCTGGGCATAGCTGGAGCTCACATTTGGCCCTGACAGCATGGAGGAGTGTGAGGCACTCTGTACACACCTGGCCATCATGGTGAACGGGTGGTTCTGCTGCCTCAGGAGCCCGCACACCTCAAGGGCAGGTGAGCTGGGCCAGGCCTCAAGGGCTGGTGTTGGGGCAGGAATAGGCTGGAGGAGGGTGGAGGTGGAGGTGGGGACTGAGGAGAGACCAAGTTCAGGGCCAGCTTGGCTCTAACAGTGAGGATCATGGACTGTCTAGGAGAGATGTTGAGGGGGCATGGAAGGACCAGGAGGGGCTGGAGTCTCATGGGTAAGGGTGGGTCCATGGGTGGAGATAGAAGAGGGTCAGGTGAGTGGGTAGGGGCATGGGGGGGGGCAGGGCCTTGAGAGAGGAGGGGTTAAAGAAGGGATGAGCATTTTAAAGACAAGGAGGAGCAAGAGATGGGGTCACATGTGCTGGGTAGGGGGTTGAGAGGGGCCTGGCATTGAGGGTGGGGCCAGAATAGAGGAGGAGGGTGGTATGGATGGGGTGGGCTGTGGGTGTGTCCACTAACCCTCCCCCCA